CCCCCCCCCGGGGGTATGGATTCAGTGCGTTGGAGTGCTACTATTGACCACTTCTTAACAGATATGCGTTGTAAACAATCCAATGTAAACAAAGAATGCCGGAAGAAGCAAGTAGTTAAGAATCGTTGAGGGACGTGCAAATACGGTAGTGCTTGTTTCAAGAATGTAAGTTATATTAATGTTTATTTAGTTATAACATATTTTGTAATGTTTATTCAAGTATAACATATTTTTTAATGTTAAACAGAATTTGAATAAACTTAAAGTATTTCACCGTGTGCATGTCAATAAACAAGGGGAATTCGTTGGCCCGTTAGTCAAAGAACAATATGTAGGTTATTATTACTTAAAAATGAAGTAGAATGTTGTTTTTTTTGTGTTTGTTTTGAAGTATATTGACAATCTTCGTGAAATACAGAATTCTTTATTTGCTGAGGTTGCTTTACAAACTCAGCACATAGCCGACTCCGGTGGTGATCCGAACTCCATTGATTGGATAACCTTATTTGAAAAGGTGTTAGGTGCTCGTAGGGGACATGTGAGATATATTGACAAATTCAGAATGTTGTTGTTGTTGTTGTTGTTTTTTTTGAAGTATATTAACAATATTCGTGAAATACAGAATGCTTTAGTTGCTGAGGTTGCTTTACAAACTCAGCACATAGCCGACTCCGGTGGTGATCCGAACTCCATTGATTGGATAGCCTTATTTGAAAATGTGTTAGGTGCTCGAAGGGGAAATGTGAGAGGCATCAGGCCTAAGCTTTCCGTAGCGGGTACAAGTGCTCCCTCTCAGTGGCAGTCACAGTCACAAACACCGCAACCAACACCGGTACTTATTAATTTGTTGTGAATTTTGTAATTTTGTAGTTTGGTAGTTTGTTAATTTGTTAGTTTGTTAAATTGTCATGAATTTGGTAGTTTGTTAAATTGTTAAGGACTTAATGTGTTTGTGACTTAATTGTTAAGTAATAATAATTTGTTTTTATAGGTTGACATATTTTAATTTATATTCTTACTTTGTAGGATGTGGATGTTAACGCTTTTCTCTAAACTCGGCGTTTGTGACGGCAATTGGAGATATTATCCGCTCATTTAACAAGCAAGTTGACAATGCGACCAACAACGACGAGGAAAACGACAATGGGGAAGACGATTAGTATTTCTTGTTTTATGTTATGGGTGATGTTAGTATGGATGTATTAGAGTATGGACTTCATCGACTACTATTTCATGTTTCGACTATTATTTCATGTTTATTAGATTGTTTATGTAGTAGTTATTTGATGTTTAATGTAATGCAGATTTCTAAATTATAATTTCCACATTTTTATAAGTTCTGCATTTTTATAATATAAACTAATAAAATATATAAATTTTATTTAAAAAAACGGCATTAGTGGCGACATTATTAGGGACAACATGAACCTCTGGGAATCTTGACCGTAATAACACCTGCCGGTTGCCGGAATATGTTTAGGGACGCCAATTTTAGAGACAACGATGAGCATTAGTGATGACGTCTATTAGGGACGACACTTTTTTGGGACAGTGTTTGTATATTAGCTACAAGGTAATTGCGGCGACTCAATTGCGACGACATGTCGTCCCTAAAGCCGTTATGGACGACATTGTTGAGTATTTGCGACGCTCTTTGTCATCCCAAATGGTGCCTTTTCTTGTTGTGGTTAAGGAAACAATCATAATGTTTAGCTTGAACCTTCTAGCTAGTTATACTAAAGAACATTATTTTAAGGGCTTTTTTCCCAATGCTTAACTAAAAATTACTTCAAACTTTATAAAATATGTGTCCGTTAGAACCATTCTTATCGGTTTTTAACTGGTTCTGAAATCAAAATCACCATTATGATCGGTATTGGGGTTGATTCCAACATTTTAAAACTGTTGGTTTTGGTTTCAAATTATTATTGATAAAAAATAAATAAATACGTATTACCTTTAATTCATTTATGTCTAGTGACGTCAGATGCTTGCAAAATTCATGCATGTCTTATATAAATATATTCATCTCATACAGCATCGTGAAGGAAACAATCATATTGTTTAGCTTGAACCTTCTAGCTAGTTATACTAAAGAACATTATTTTAAAGTTTTTTTTTCTCAATATTTAACTAAAAGTTACTTCAAACTTTATAAAATATATGTCCGTTAGAACCATTCTTAACAATTTTTTAACTGGTTCTAAAATCAAAATCACCGTTATGATAGGTTTTGGCGTTGATTCCAACATTTTAAAACTGTTGGTTTTTCAAACTATTATTGTTAAAAAATAAATAAATACCTTCAACCACTTTAATTTTATCACCCATATTCCAAGTGTATCTAGATTTATTAAATTAGAGCACGCCCGTCCTAGAGGGTGGACGATAAGAGCGATCGTCAAGGACCCTTCTTTTAAACGGGTACAATTTTTCTTTTATGGAAATTTTTATATATAGAAGATAGTATAAATATATTTTTTTTCAATTATTGAGTTATTATAAAAAACTTGATAATATTTGTGTATTTTAAAATTCTATTTTTTTTCTATACCCTTGGTCCAAAATATTTTTGAAACAGCTTGATTTAGAGATATACCAAAATAGAAGACATTTCCATTTTTCTAGATTAAAGTTTTTGATTCCTTTCTATCTCTGTGATCTCTTCCATGCAACAATCCCACCACCCCACTTCCACCCCCACCATCCCCTACCATATAAAAATCTTAACTATAAAAGGCAATGCAACACTTGGTTTGATAGAAGGAAGCAATACCCAAACAAGTGAACCCACCCTCTAAAGATTCAATCTATCATCTTCGTTACATTTATCTACAAAAGATGGAACAAAATCACTTGAAGAAGATTAACTTCATCAAAAACTCCCTCTTTGAACAGGTTTGTAATATTTTTTTATCTTATTGTTCGAAGTATCCTAATAAGTTATATATATATATATATATATATATATATATATATATATATATATATATAT